CCTCACTACCTTCAGCAAAATGTCAGATCTAATGTGATTGCCAAGGAAGCAAGGTGTTCATAAACCACACTGACGGAGGGTTCAGACCTAGAAGCGGACATCCTCATTACACATACTCATTCGTTGCTGTAAAATGTGTGGTTTGGGGTTTTATGCCTGGAAAGGGATTGAGATAAATAAGAGTGTGTCTACACAAGTGGGAGTGTCTGAACCATGCTGTAGTTTAGAGAAGGGGTTATTTAGGTGTTACAGGTCTTTTCAGGTATTTGTGGGGTTGCCGTGTGGGGGCTAGCGGATGTAATTTTAGATTTCAGTTCAGTATAGCAAACTTGTAACATACAAGGTTTTCAGAGATGTCTAAAACAAATTGTCTTGGTATTACAGTTATTCAGTTAGACCATATATGCCCAATTAGGGGATGGTTATAATAAAAATTTTTAGATTAGCTGATTAAACAAATGATTCTGAACTTTTTAGTTCTTTATACCATTGTTGCATGTTGATAGGGAGATGTTAGAACATTAGAATGTAATGTTTGATACAACCAAAGAATATACACAGCATGTTAATTATGAACCATTCCTAAATTAACACCCACTACTTTAGCAAGGACTATAGAGTGTTCTCCAGACCCATACCCGTACTCATTGCATGTTTCTGTAATAGTCTGGCTATAACATAATTTTTTTCATCTTGATAGGATAACACTGACAGAAGCTCTGATTGCTAAAACTCATGGAATGAACAGTTTTGGAGACACAGCATTTTAAAATATTGGAGTCATGGAGGAAAATAGTAAATGGGGTTCTTACATACTAAGCCTGGAAACCAGTGGATTTAGTTGTCATTCAGCAGGCAACTTCTCCTTTCATTAGGCACAGACACAGAAAGATTGACTGACAAGACTTATATAACATCACAAAGAATTACTGTTAACACTAAACTCAGAACTTAATGCTGGTAATTTCCTGGCTTGAGAGGCATTTATTTGTTTTTTTTTTGTTTGTTTCCCTGAGAGAGAGCAAGAGTCAGCAGTGTCCCCATGCTTCAGTTCACTCCTACCCAGCTCAAATCATGGTCATGTGTATATGCTCCTTTGTGCACAAGGAGGCTGTGGAACTAGAATCCAGGACCCTCCCATGTGAGTTCAGCATCATAGAGCAGTCTATTACTGCTCTTCCATTGCTTAGCCTTAGAAAGATAATGTTGATAAAAGTGGTACACAAGCTGTTTTGACCTGGTTAAGATTCCAGATTTAATCTTCTCATTTCCATCAGTATTGCTTTGTATAAATTTGTATATACTTTTATGTTCTGTTATTAAATTGAATGATATATTTTAGAGACTGAAAAAAATCCTGGCAGAAAGATTTTTTTTTTTTTTTTTAATTTAAAATTTTAGATTTTGCCTTAGGGAAACAGAGGGGGGAATAAGAAACTCTCCCCAACTCCCTCCAGGGGGATTGCCACTGCAGTTCCTTTTCCTCTGTTCTCCTCTAGGGATTTGGGTATGCATACACAGATGCCTGGGGTGATTTTCAAGCCTCCAGTCCCCAGTTCTGGAGACTCACACTGCAGTTGCTCTGTGGGAGTCCAGCTCCTTAACCACCATTCCAGGTGCCTGGTCCCCTGGGATACGGAATTGTTTGAGCACTGGAGCCATGCATGACTTACGTAACTTTAATACTTCTGAACCTAGTTCATTCCTCTTCCTCCTTGACTTATCTGTCTTTCCAGCTCACTAAGTAGTTATGGATGATCAGCTGTTTTCCAGGAGGTATTCTAGGAGCTGAGGCCATAGTGGGTGATAAACTTTCATGGAATTTTTAGTTATTAATCAAATAATTACACAAATGTTGAGGTATGACTTAAGTGGGAAATGCATTATATCACTTGAGTGTGTGTGTATTCAAAGGTTTTTGGTTTTACATATTTATTTATTTGATCGTCAGAAAAGTCATGATGTATTTTTCTGTTTCTCTGTGCAAAAATGCCTCATGACTTTTCTGATGATCCAATAGTTTTTAATCTAGGCATCTAAATTTTCTTACCACTTATAGTGAATTCCTTTGGTTTTCCTATGCTTGGTAAATTTGGTTCCTTTCTGCTTGATTTATTATATTACTATGGTTACTTATACAATAATAATAGGTTTTTACATTCATGATATAAATTCTACTTTGTACATTTAAAAAATATGCTGGTGGATTCACTTAGGGTGTTTATATACAAACAAATTTTTGTCTATAGTTTTCTTTTTATGCTGTGATTGTTGGATTTTTATATTGATAGTATGCTGCCCTCATGACAAGAATTGGGCAGTTTCTGAAGAAGAAATTTTAGTGAGGGGGCTAGCAGAGGGTGTCACAGTTACATTGCTGGACTCCCACATGGCTGACTGCAGTTCCAGTCCTGGTGGCTTGAAACTCAGGCAGGGCACTTGTATGTGCTTGCCCAAGATCCTGGGAGAATGGAAAAGGGATTGCAGTGTGGTCATCCCCCTTGAGGGATAATTTCTACCCACTCTTTCACTGTCTCTGTTTCTCTTGCTCTCCAGTGAGCGCATGTGCTCTAAGTCAAAAACCTCTACCTGCCACCCTCAAAAAAAAGAAAAGAAAAAATAAATTGAAGTGATGATACATTATTAATATTACTGAAAATGCTTTTTTTTAAAAAATAGAGATCTGGACTGAAGGATTTTTAATTAGATTAAATGTTTCTACTGCCTTTTTTTTTTTTGGAAGAGGTTTTTGCTATAGGGCACACGTGCTCACCATAAAGACAAAGAGAGACAGACAGAAAGCGAGAGATCACCCCCCCAGGGGGGATGGCCACGCCACAATCCCTTCTCCATTCTTCTCTTGGGATACTGGGCATGCACGCACACATGCATGGTGTGAGTTTAAGCCACCGGTTCTGAGACTCAAACGGTGGGCTACATGGGAGTCCAGCAACATAGCCATTATGCCAACTGCTGGTCCCTCTAATGCTTTTGAGTATTTGATGTAATTGTGTAAATAATCATTTGTGTTTACATTATTATGTGGACACTGAAAACTTGATTTGAGAATTGCTCTCCCATGCTAATTTAAGATACACATTAATTTGATACTGGACATTATTAGGAAAACATTTATTATAAAATAGGAGTATCAAAAGAATTTTAAGAGAGAATAAAGTCTTGCTTGCCCTTACAGTGTAGTCATATCCAAAGTGTTCTCTTTTAATTTTTGGTGATTTCATTTGCTACTCCGAGATAAGCATTTGACAGACTTTGACAAGAAAATCGTTACTCAAGATTTGTAACAAAATTAATATTTCTGGGAACCAGCAGTTAGCGTAATGGCTGTGTCGCTGGACTCCCACAACTCACGCGGGGGGCGTGTGCGCGTACGCGCGCGCGTGTGTGCCCCCAAGATCCCGAGAGGAGAATGGAGGAGAAGGGATTGCCACGTGACCATCCCCCCTGGGGGGTGATTTCTCGCTTTCTGTCTCTATGTTTCTCTTTGTCTGTCTGGGGAGCACATGCACCCTATAGCGAAAAAAAAAAATTAATATTTCTATCACTGAGGTAGAAAATGTATTATAGTGAATTTTTAAAAGCTGATTAAGATTTTATAACTGAATAAGACTGTCTTTGATCATATATGCCTTTCACAGTTGTATTTCATTATCGATTTAAATAATGCGTTAGGAAAATTAAAGAATACATTCGTATTTGATAGTTTAATATTGGATTGAAATTTTATGTTTGGAAGGCATATAATACACATTTTAAAAAGAAAAGGCATTTTATTTTTAAATATTAATGATTGCAAGTCTTTCTCCTAAGGAGACATAATTTGTAGGATAGAAAGAAAAGTACATATGTGTCCCGCTCACCTTAATAATAACAGCCCTTGTTAGTATCTTTCAGTGGACAGCGCCTACATTCTAGCACATAGTTGAAGCTTAATAAGTAATTCTTGAAAGAACTAATCTATTTTCTTTATAGGCCTAAATTTATTAAATATAATTTGCCTACTTTTTTCTTGAAAAATATATTCAGTTATATCTGAAACTAATTTTTTTAAAACGGTAATTGATTTAAGATATCTCATTAACCCAGTGTACTTTGATTTCCTTTACTGTCTTCCCCTTGAACCTTCTTTGATCACCAGTAGCTTAGTGGTCAAATCTAGGGTCCTATCTTTGCTCTTTCCC